CTGTTCTGACACATGGGGTCACCATGACTCGGAGTTGACTTGATGGCACCTGGATCTGGTTGAAGTGTACATCCACTGTTGTTAGATGCTGTCAAGTCCATTTCCAACTCGTAGGCTGTAAGCTTTGTGGGGGCAGATCACCAGGTCTTCCTCCCGCAGAGCCCCTGAGGAGGTTCAAAACATTTTTCAGTTTGCAGCTGAGTGCTTAACTGTTGCACCACCAGAGCTCCTTATTCAAACATTAATAACATTTGCTTTGGCAATGAATTAATGAATACAACATTGCCAAAGGGGGGGGGGGATCAAGATGACACCTAACAGCTGAGCCCTGAAAGATACTAGGCATGAACTAGGTGAGTCGGGGAAGAATATTGCCTGCGTCACCGGCCGGAACTTGTGCAGAGCCAGAGGTTAGGCACAGACAGCAAGTGGGAGAGGATGAAGCTAGAGAAGTGATGGGCAGCGCTCAGGTAATGGAAGTCCTTGTGATAACAGGTAATGTGCTGGGTGCTTGCTATGTGCCAGGCCCCCACTATTTTCAGTATCTGATCCTCACAACCCCCCTATGGAATATTTTTATCCCCATTTTAAAGATGAGGAAATTGAGACTCCAAGCAGTTAACTTAGTTCATCTCGATTGCATAGCTCACAATGGCAGATCTGGGATTCAAACCCAGGCATCATGGTCCTGGGAGTCTAGACCCAACCATCTAGCTGTGCTGTGTCCTGGATTCCTTAACAGCCTTCTACGGAAGTTAGACTTCATCCGTGGCAGCGAAAAGCTGGCGGAGGGTTCTTAATAGAGAAGGCGAGGGCACAGCACGGCCGAGGTAGCACAGAGGCCTGAGTTGGCGTCAGGTCCGGGAGCTTTCCACAGGGCAGCGTTAGCCAGCTGAAGGAGAGCGCTCCAGGCAGAGAACTGCACATGCCAAAGCCTGCAGGCTACTTCACTTTTCAGGAGCTGCCAGTAATTCATGTGAGCTGGAGATTGGGGGGGTTGGGTCGAGGGCAGGGGCTGAGGGTAAGTGTTGAGGCAGAGAGGTGACCTGGGCTAGAGTCGGCGCCCTGCATTCTCTGCAGGGCACTGGCAGGTAGAGATCAACTGTGTCTTTGGGACGCACCTGTCAGTGTCTCTGACGAACCACGGTGAACCACAAAGCTCTGAACAAATATCAGGGGTCCAGGTGCCTGGGGCCAGTGAGGGCAGTCCACTGAGGAGCAAGAAAGGCAACGGGCCATGGAGAAGCTTTGGCAGAAAGTAACAACTTTACCTTATTTCTAACCCGTGAAAGTGGTCAAAGGCAAAAACTTCATGGTGGGGTTGAGCTGGCTTCACCAATACCCTGTTAGTCTTACATGTAAACAAATCTTGACCTTCATTCTGACATCTAAGTTTTCACCAAATTTGTCTAGTTGATACAGTATTTCAAATTTTTTTTATTCCCTCTTTTATAATACTTTTGTGTGTGTGTGTGAAAATATACACAGCCAAACATACACCTATTCACCATTTTTACACATAAAATTCAATGGCATTGGTTACATTTTTCATGTTGTATCATCCTTCTCACTCTCTCTTCCCAAGTTATAAGGACATCTGTCCTCTAACTAGGATCTTTGTGTGTGTGTGTGTGTGCGTGTGTGTGTGTAGGAGCTCTGGTGGCATAGTGTCTAAGGCATTTGACTGCTAACCAGAAGGCTGGCAGTTCAAACCCACCAGCCACTCCTCAGAAGGAAGGTTGGGCAATCTATTTCTGTAGTGATACTGCCTCAGAAACCCAAGGAGGGGTCGCTATAAGTCGCATCCAACTCAATGGCAGTGTGTTTGGTTTTGGTTTATATATATCGATAGATATAGATGTATAGATACACACACACACACACACACACACACACCAAACCACACTCACTGCCGTCATTTCCAACTCAGTCAAATGCCTTATGCACTGCACCGCAGAGCTCCCCTTGTTGAGAATACACACAGCAGAACTTAACACCAGTTCCAGTTTCTCCATGTAGTTCAGTGACACCGCCTACATTCTCCAAGTAGTGCAGCCATCCTCCCCTTGCTCCTCCAGCTTGCTCCACCCCTCCTTTTCAGCTTGCTCCTCCCCCATGAGCATGCCCTCGCGGCCCCTGAGGTTCCTGTCTAACAGTCTGAGTTGCTGGTGTCAATCTGATCCCTCACAGCCCTTCAGAGAGCCTCATGCTCAGGGCAGCCTCCATTGATCTTCTGTTTCCTAATAATTGTGTTTCTTTTACTCTCTACAGCAAAGAAGCTTGGAGTTGCAACTCCCAGAAAACCTGTTTTATCTGTCAGTGCCAGGAAAATTAAGGACAATGCAGCTGATTGGCACAATTTAATCCTGAAATGGGAATCCCTCAATGATGCAAGCTTTGCTACTGCAAACAATATCGCCAACCTGAAGATCAGTCTATTGTAAGTATAGATGGAGCTGTTCACACTCAGCCTTTCAGCTTTAAAGATGGCGCAAAAGTTTCATGGGACTCCCTTAGAGTGGGAAGGGTGGTCTATATTTATCAAGATGGACAAATTAAATAATAAAATATTGAGCAGAAAAGCACATAGTAAAATGATACCTCCTGTATGAACTGTGTATGTACATTTTTAAACAAAGTAATGTACATATTGTTATGGTTACATCTCTGTATGAAATCGTAAGCCTGGATTGGAAGGACACAGTCTCAATTCATGATGTGGTAGCTTCAGGAAAGCATGGGTGCTGGGGTGATAGGTAAGGGGACCTCATCTTTATCTGTAATGATTTTATTTCTTAGGACAAAGGAATTAGAAAAAATGTTAGCAAACACCAACTCTAATTAGAAGACTTGCTTTATTATTCTTTATATAAGTACACACAGGCGCTCGGGTGGCGTAGTGCCTAAGGGCATTTGACTGCTAACCAGAAGGCTGGCGGTTCACACCCACCAGCCACTCCTCGGAATAAAGATTGGATAATCCACTTCCGCAGAGACACCGCCACAGAATCCCAAGGAGGGGTCGCTATAAGTCGCAATTGACTCAATGGCAGTGAGTTTATACATACCCACATACACATATACACACGCACAGAATAATACCCGTATTTAAAATCTATGCAGCTCCTGGGTGGCACAAATGATTAAGTCCTCAGCTACTAACCACTAAGTTGGTGGCTTGAACCCTCAGAAGAAAGGCCTGGAGACCTTCCAAACATGTCATAGCCATGAAAACCCCATGGAATGCAAATCTACCATGCAACACATGGGGTTACCATTAGTCAGAACTGACTAGACAGCAACCGTTTGTTTCTATGTATTTTATAAAATTGTATATATACTATACATATAAACTTAAATATCTATACATACATATATACAGATTTCATTTTCTCAAAATTTTAAGTAAAAAAAAATCCCCTCACTGACCTGTCTACAGACTAGAGTCTTAACTCCTTGGCATCACCCCTCCACTCTCGCCAACCTGCTCTCGTGACGTTTCCTCAAACTTGTGCGTTGTCAGCTTCTGCTGTCTTCCTGCCCAGCAATTTCCATCAAACAATTCTTAACCTTAGGACGTGCGATATGCTGCAATATTTTCTGTCATTTTTATGTGTTTAATTTTCTTCTTGAATGCTGATTGTGAGCCCATTAGACGTACTTCCTGCCTCGTAGGTCACAGCCTTCAGTGCAAATGACATTCTTCCATGGTCAAGGCCTTGAGGCCCGGGTCCTCATCTTTGTGCTCCAGTACCCACCCGACCCTGAGAATGCCACATGCTGGCAGAAACTTAATTGACTTATTCTGATGCAGAATGGAGTAACCCATGGATACCTTTGTTGTGTATGTAACTAATAGGTAGTGATGTCTGTAATGACGTGAAACAGCAGTGCTAAGACAAGATTTCCGAGGGAATGTGTGGCTGTTGAGTGTTTTAGGGTTTATCACGACAAGAAGGTCATACGCTTCAAGAGTATACATTGTTCCTGTTCTCTGTTTCGTCCAGGAGTAAAGACAAGATAGAACTGGAGAGCAGCAGCCCAGCTTTGGATAAAAATGAAGAAAAGATGTATCCCAAATATAATAAGGAACTGGAGATGCTGTGTGAGGAATTGCAGGCCACCTTGGATGGGTTGGTAAGATCCAAAGGTCCTGGTCACTGGGTCCTTGTCGCTGAGTCTGAGCCCTTTCCTCCTTAGGCTTTCCCATTTGTTTTCTTCCCTCCTCAGCCACCTCTGCTAGTCCCTCTCTACCTGCCCTATCAGTCTTGATCTTCAGGATGCTGTCCTAGACTTCCTGTCCTAGGCATTGCCCGGGGCCATTTCACCCACTGCCAGGCCCCTAGCCGCCGCCATGTCTCACCAGCTCCCTGCTAGATGCAGCCACTCACATGCCTCTCCTTCATACTTTGCACACGCAGAATGTCAAATGCGTTCCGAGCTCCACCTGCCACTGGCCTGTCCTCTGTTCTGGTGAATGGCACCATCACCTGCTCAGACGTCAGCACTGGGAAGTAGGGACTAACTTTGGGCTCTTGTTCTCCCCTCGCCATTACCACGCCCATGGCTCCTCTTTGAAATATTTTTAAATCCAGCCGCCTCTAAGCCCACGCCTCCTCGCTGGCTTCATGCTCTCCCAGCTTTCTCCCCATCATGCCGCCTTCTCAGCATGTCTTCAAGGTCCACCAGGAACCAGCCCCACTTACCTTTTCGGCCTCTTCTCGTCACTTTCCCCCTACCTCTGGAATTGTATACACACCTCTGCCAGCCTGTCCTGGTTTCCTGGGGCTGCCCTAACAAAGTACCACTCAGGTGCTTTGAAGAGCAGCAGTTTATTTTCTCACAGGTCTGGAGGCCAGAAGTCACAAGTCAGGGCGTCGGTGGTGGTGACAGCTCCTGAGGCTTGGTGCGAGAGTCCACTCCATTCCTTGCTCCTAGCTTCTGATGGCTCCCAGCAATCCTGGGCATGCCTTGGTTTGCAGTTACTGTCTGCCACTGTCGCCGCATGGCGTCCTTCTGTCCATCTCTTTGTTTCTTCTCTTTGATTAGGACCCACCTTACTCCATCTTCAGACACCCCATTTCCCAACAAGGTCACCTGCATAGGTACCAAAAGTTAGGACTCCAGCGTATGTTTTCAGGGGACAATCCAATCCATTCCATCACACACACACCCTTGCTTGCCTACTTTCGGGCCTGTGCCTTCTGTTAGGGGCCCTTGCTCCACTTTCATCGGACCCTTTGCTCCTTGAGGTCTAACTGAGGCAGCACTGCCAGAGGGAAGCTACCCTGAATCGTAGGCTAATTGACTTGTTGAAATACTTGATGCTTTAATTACTGAAGTGTCCATCCCATTTCCCCGTCATGAGTGATTTAATATCTCACCGTCCCCCTGGGCTGTGGTTCTCAGTAAACGTTTTGGGCTCTGCGGCCCATGCAGTCTGTGTTAGAACAGTTCAGCTCTGCAGAACACAAAAGCAGCACAGACAATGTGCAGACAAATGAGTATGGCTATGCTGTGGTGAACTATCCTCGGACACGAAAATTTGAGTTTCATGTCATTTTCAAGTGTCACAAAACATGATGCTTTTTTTTTTCAACCACTTAATAGTTTACAAACTATTTTTAGCTCTCAGGTCACACAAAACAGGCTGCGG